ATAGATTATTCGTTTAAAAAAATCAGTCGCTGAGGGGATCCATATGTTTTATAAGTCGGTTTTAATTAATCTAAAAAAATTTAAACCCAAGATTTATTTTAGCGTTTCTTTTTTGACATTTTGACATTTTTATTTAGGAAAAAAACTATTTTGGTCTTGGTTGATATGAAAAGCAAATGTGGTAGAGGTAGTGTATAGTGGGGGCTGTGTGAGGGGAAGGTTTTTTTCGAAAACAGTAACTGCTACTACGGGAATTTATTCAATCCATTCCCTCAACTAATTACCGATTACTTAACAAAATTATTATCATTGTATGCAACTAATAATCTATAATCATTTTAGACAATGAAATGAAAACACAAACACAATAACTTAAACTAAACAACAAGAAACAAAACTTACCCAAAACAAGAAAACAAATTGTGATGTTTCATATTAACTTACAAAACGTTCTTCAAATGTTTACTAACTAACGAATGATACTGGTCATGCTTCTCCCTGAAGAACGACTGCACTTATCAAATATTTCCTTTATGCACCGAAAGTGGTGCAGTCCAGGATGATGTGTACCAACGTCTCCTGTTTATCATGTGTACGTACCATTTACAGCGATCGCTATCTTGGATGTGAAACCCTGCCAATTACGCAGCATTTTTGACATCTCCGCGTATAGCCTGAGCAACTTTATAATTTATTGCCAATTCCACCGGAAAACAGGGATTTGAACATTGGGAAACACTGTTTGGTGTGCGACACTTTCACCGGATTGTTTCATATTTCCTCCCATCTTTGGCGTCCACGTTTGTCTATTTGGTTACATACGCAGAAGCAAGGTACAAGATTAAATTTTGGTTCCAGTTTAGTTACCTGCTGCTTGTTTTGCTAGACTATCGTCTACCTCATTATCCAGAGTTCCAATTGAGCCTTGGACCATTTGAGGTAGATGTTAACGCAGTTTTCGTATCAAAGTCTGCAATTAGATGACTGATGTTCTCTACAGTAATCAGATGGTTTCGCCGATCCATCACTCGGTTTAGTGCGATTTGACTATCAGTCCAGATAGTTATTACTGTCGCCTTAATTGACCTGCTTAGCAGCCACTCCAGTGCTTTCTGAATGGCGAATGAGGCGGAGGTGGTGTGTGGTGGAGGCTGTGTATGGTGGAAACTGTGTGATAGAGGCTTTGTGAGGTTGAGGTTGTGTGTGGTAGAGGTGGTGTCAAGGGAAGGCAGATGAGGTTGAGGTTGTGTGGTGCAGGTGGTGTGTAATAATATATTATGTTACTATTCGCACATCTAATTGTATACAACATTTTATAAACCATAATGTAAGGATTTATTGTATAAGACAAATAAATTTTAAGAATTTCCAAATTTTCCTCTTCTTACAGTTGTATTAGGTTCTTATAAACAATTTAGATATTTGCTTTTGCGAGTGAGAAACGGAATTTTTAGATAGGAAATGTGTCCTTTAAAAAAAGTTTCCGGTTGTGTACACAAAAAATCAAGGATTTCACAGTTTTCAGTTTAAAAAAATCGTTGAAATGGGAATTTAATGCCGTATAATAAAACGTTTAACGGCCTTCCTTCAAGAGAAAAAGTTATTTTAATCTAAACGGAATAAAAATTGTTTTCGGAGCGCAGTTCTGGTTCCCAGTCCTGCATTCCATATAGGCAATTAAGTGTTAAACCAAAGGAAGCAAAGTGAAAGTACCTCGATTTTTTTGCTTTTTATTAAGCTGTTACAAAAAAGATACAATGACGACAAAATACAGTACAATTTAACCATTCAAAATAAACGAGCCGTTGATCTAAATTAATTGATATTAGCAAACAACTTGAATCATAGTACCAAAGTACAACGTAATAGTCAAAAATAAATATTTTATAAAGCCAAGAAAAATCAAAATAATATTTATATGTTATTTAAAAAACAATCTTTTTAGTGGCAGTTCTGCGTAAATGCATTCATTGCCAATGTAGCAGGTCAATGATATATTTAGAATCTGTTTTACGTTTAAATATTATTCTTGGCAAACTGTTTCTTATGAAAAACTGACAGTCAGAAAAACTGAAATCTAAAACTGTTCTGATTGAATAATGATGCCTAATAATTATTTTTCTTGTTTAAGGTTTAAATGCACTAACAAAAATAATTATAGGCACATTCTCCCAAAAATTGCAATTTTTTCAGAAACAATGAATTTTTTATAGCTTAATATTTGATGCGATATGATAGCTGTAGGAAGCAAGAAATAGAAATAAAGAAGGAAAGATGGAGATGAAGAACAACATAGAGTATACTGTACATAGATTTATTCATTATTTAGGATAGTAAGCTATAAAAAATCGAGGAAAACAGAAACGTACTTGTCCAAAACTAAAATTAAATAAAAGCGGGACATGTATAGAGAGCAAAATTAATCATTCAAGAATTTAAGATTTCCATCAATATTGTATAAATGAAAATTGTATCGTTTTCAATTGCCATTCTATGGCTTATAAACTCAAAAATGTAAAAATATACGTGATTAATCGAGGAAAAGAGCGTCTGTAGGAGGATTGTTTATTTAGTCGCCGAGTTTTGAATGTGTTTCGTGTGTACATCAGTTAAATTTTCGGGCCTCGGTCCATTCTGTCATATCAACTTTTCAACTTTTTGTTAAAATGTTTTTTTTCTTCTTTTTTTGTGTGTGTAAATGTTTTTTACACAGCAATACTCCTACGTGACATTTCGCGTTCATGTTGGTTGTTTCAATTCGTTTAATGTGAAAACCAAATTTACAATAAAAGTATACATTTCAACAAAATCGATAATTGATTGCTAGATCAACGGGCACAACAAATCCCATTTCAAGGAAAATTCTTTTATTTAAATTTAAGCCGTTTAAAAAAACCATTTTCTGGAAATAAAAGTATAAAAAATAGAGTGCTTAAAAAATCTAAGATTTAAATTTTAAAGCGTATTCCAAACAATAAATATTCGATAAACAGTTTTAAATGATAAATAGTTGCTATTAGACCAGAAAATCTATAACAATATGAAACATTAATTAATAACAATAAATACGTATTTCATCCATTAGTTTCTGTATAAAACCAATGGAATCAATAATTTTTTACTTAATCCTACTTATGCAAAACAAATATACTTGGAGTAAATACTATAGTTACAGACAAATCTGATAGATCTGTGGACAGTAGGCATTGGGGAGAGAAACCAGTCCTGAAACTCTCTTGTATTTAATTGGGTGGGTTAAGATAGGACTCCTCATATTAACCGGCGTGGAGGATTGTAAGGGAGGAAAGAGCTTTGGATTATAATGGAAAGTAGGTGGGTGAGTAATAGTATAGTTGAAAAAAAGGTCAGTTTTAATGCTTTGCATAAAATAGTTTTTAAAGATAAAGGGATGGGGTATTTTAAAGAAATCGAGGAAATGAACCTTACGGAAATTATATAAATTTCAATTAAGAATCCCTGATCTTCAGAGTTTTTTTTCTTGAATAATAAAAAAAGTAACTGAACAAAAGATTTATAATTGATTTGAAAACAATTTACAGCCTGCATGCGTATGCATATCAGATTCTAAACGATTACAATCGTACAATAAACAAAAAAATTGTTTTACAGATTTAAAAAAAAAAAATAGAAAAAGGAAAGTGCGGAGACAAAAAATAAACTCACAAGAAGGTGAGGATAGTCCCGGTCGGAAGGTAACCGTCCGCCGGCGTACCGTGCCGATCCCCTCCTTCTCCAGTGTACACTGCCGCTAAAATTAAAATTTTAAACGTTTCAGGCTAGTGTGTTAGGGTGGAGGGATAGTTTAGTGTGGAAATTGAGGAAGCGCGTTCTACTGGCCGAGCCCCACAGGCCGACTTCTTAAGCCCAAATAGGTCTAAAGCCTGGACCCCCACATGACCGCACCGAGCACGCACCGCGAGATGTTCAACAATCGGCCGACTTGCTGTGACGGTGACAGAGACCCCACTTGTCTGTACCGTGTTGGTCAACACTTAGGAGTTTAATAGCTTCGAAGCTATATCGTTCGTTAGCACTTGCTTTACAGGCAGAAGATGTTAATTGGCGAAGAAATCATCGCAGAAGGAAAACATGATCTTCATCTTAAAATAAAAGAATGTGGATTCACAATGTAAAGAAATAATGTGTTAAAAGGGAATTAATTTATGTGATTCTTATTTAATTAAATTAATTAAATTATTCAGTCTTTATATTCCGTATTTCTGTGTTTTTGGTCATACAACAAAGGAAACTTTCATTTCTGACATCCTCATTTAGTTTCTGTGCGCCATTTTACGAAATAAAATTGTCCTAAGATTACAAAAAGACAATCGAGAATAAATAAATAAACGAAATATGAAAAAAATATATTCAAAAATAAACTTTACGCTGCACCTCACACGATCCGTGTCTGTCAAAAACTAAACCAGACTAGTCCGGCACGGTGCGGTTTGTGGCTGCGGAGTCGGTGCGGAGATGTGGGGACTAGCCGGCTCACTTCCATTGTCCTAACCGTTCTCCGTGTGACGGCCGACAGAGGGCCATCATTCGGTGCGGTCATGTGGGGTCCGGCCTTAATGACGGTTTTGTAAGCGGTTAGTTTGGAACGTATGATTGTTGTTGATTTTGGTCCCAGTAGGTGTCTGAGTAGTCCATATCTTTTATTTAACAGTTGAAAGTATACGCTTCCACTTTTTATTATTTTCTTCAAATTACATGATACTCTCATAAATGGCGCTAACAGACTATTTATGGAAGTGATTTCGTAAAGGCCGTCAAAGGGACGTCCACAATACTAAGAAGACAGGAGAATTCTAGACCGAGATTGAGGAAGCCTATTGGATACGCTTGCTCAGAGGTGCTTGGAACTCCTGTTTATGTTATAAAGACAAGAAGAAGAAAAAAGTGTGTAACGAAAACAATTTGTGTTCAATTGTTCATAGGTTGCCGCACATTATAAAAGGTTTATTTCATACGTATGGTGTGCCGAAGAAAAGTATATTTAAAAAAAACTTTATACATAGTTACTCAGACAGAATTTTAATTGTAAGAGAGTATTCTGTTTTCCTTATTATTTTATTACGACACGAGATATAGAAAACCGAATTATATCTTCACTGCCTTCCTTGTCTGTACGGACTCCCTGAGTGCAGTATCTGCCATCCAGGCCAGATTCGCCACGGACCCTTTTGACGTGCTCCTTTTAGAAAGATATGCTGAGCTGGAGCTCCTGGGGAAAACGGTAGTAGTTGTCTCGGTACCCGGTCACGTCGGGCTGGAAGCCCTCCAGACTATGCTACCGCGATCCGGCCCGGTGACGCTGTGCAAGCAGTAAAGACCGATGTGAGAAAGCGTTGGCAGCGTCAGTGGGTCGGGTCGTCCGAGAAGCACCTGCGAGTTAAGGGCACGACTGAGCGATGGCCTCATGAGAATCTGAAACGAAATGAAAGGACCATGTTAACTCGGTTGAGGATTGGTCTTACCCGTCTGACACACGGACATCTGCTTCTGGGTCAAAACCCGCACAGGTGTCCCGCTTGTAGAGAAAGGTTGCTCTGTGTGTCTCATCTTGTCGAGTGTGTCTGGTTTAGTTTTTGACAGACACGGATCGTGTGAGGTGCAGCGTAAAGTTTATTTTTGAATATATTTTTTTCATATTTCGTTTATTTATTTATTCACGATTGTCTTTTTGTAATCTTAGGACAATTTTATTTCGTAAAATGCGTAGTACCCCCCAGTCCTCACGGGAGACGTTGCGACCGGACGACAGCATGTAAGCGTTGAGGACGTAATGATCATGCTACAGTCCCTCGAATGCGTAAGTAAGCGATTGGAAGCGGGTAGTGAGTCGGCGTCTTTGACTCGAGTATGCTTTGCATTGTTGTGCGTATGACCGGCGTGGTACCCTTGGGGAAGCGAAGGATCGGACCCCCTAGGCTAGACCTATGGCGTCCCTCGAATGCGTGCAGCAGGTGTAGGCTGAGCTCGATAAGAGACTTTTACCGTAGAAAGTGCTCATCTAGGGGGTGGGTAGCAATCCCACTATAAACTAAAACCAATGTCGGTGCGTTCCCGGAAGTTTCTACGCTAGGGGAGCCTCTATACTCAGAGAGATAGAGTGGCCTTCTCTATCTAGGGAGTACGCGGGGGGGGGGAAGGGCTGATGTATTTCGGCCTGTTAGCCCCTAACGTGCGGCGTACGACCCGACGCACAATGCGGGCCCGACCATTCGGAATGGACAAGCGGAAAGCGTGGTTACCAACCCTTAGGGGCCGGGACACCACTACACCAATGCTGCGGCGGTAACACCATTTCGTCGTATGCAGAAGTGCGTCAGCTCCCATCTTGAGGATCAAAACGTCCGATAAGGCCATGAGCCAGGTGCGGACGTTAAAGATCCTCTTGTCTTGTTGACGATGAGTAATCGGGAACCAAACTGTTTCCTCACATGTAAATATCTCAACGTGAATATCTGTGTAAATAAGTGTATCTGTGTTGTTGTGTGTATTTATTTGTAAGTAATTTATTTATTTGTTTGTTGTAAGTGGGTGATCTTTTAGACTGTAGGGCCGATGGCGGAATATTGGCGGTTGATCGGCCGGTTCACTCTTTCCATTCAAATCGAGAGATGTGTTTCTAACTCCTTAATCCGGGTCGTTGAAAACAACAAACTGTTAGTAAGAACTATATATTAAAGTACCTAAGTAGCCATGTCTTAGCTAGACGTAAAAAGAGACGGTGTGAGAGAGAGATTCTCTATTTTTGCGTAATTAAAAATTTTGTTTTAAATATTTCACTGGGTGAACTTATTGAGTTTGTCGATAAGGTTGCTGGAGGATATGCTTAATAGAGTTTTGTTGTTTCTATATATATAAATATNAACTAATAACTTACATATATATATATATACACTCGAGGCCGTTTTAAAACAACGAGCGCCTTTTGAGTATATCAACGGAAATTGACTGACCGAGTAGATAAAGACCAAGATCAGATGGATTTCCAATCTAACATTGACTATACGCTATACCTTTGACGCCAGCCGTCATTTCATGGAGATAAAGATTCACTACGAGTAATAAAAAGTAATTAAACAACCAAATACGATACAGGCATAAAATCATTGAACAAGAAAATTAATCCTTGACCAATGTAAAAAATAACGAATTTGAGATTAGCGATGTATTCGCTATGTTTAAAATGAATAAGTAAAAGTATATTGTTGTATGTTTCTATTCATATGGTTGGTGGAAAAAAGATACTCACGTAATCGTTTTGATTTGGATATATCATACTCATTGACTCATTCTCAGCACTGTATATCAGGGGATGACACATGGGTATGTGTCATTCCCTGATACGAGCCTCCGGCATCGAACGACTTGATATAAACCTCAACTATCAGAAATATTTATGCAGGAATTTTTATGTTTATATTATTAACGTTTACATTATATAAGTATTATTATTATAATCAGAAATATTACCAGCTTGCTTTTGCTCCAAATTGTATTATGTTCTTGATTATAAGAAAATATGGGAGAAGTAGATGTAGATATATTAGTCAGGGTGTGGAATACACTGCGCCCTTTAAGAGGTTTTGTATCCCCCATCATGTGCTTATAGCACATCGGTGAGTCATATTTCATCAAGGAACTTGATTTGTAAGCCCGGTTTCAGAGGTTGAATTTCTTCTATGGTCACACTGTACGTCGAAAAGTATTTCCTCCTCGGGAAAGTGTAGCGCCACAGTTCGGTGATAATTTTTTGTGTGTTTCCTCTGCTTCTTTGCACAATCTGCACGTGCCGGGTTTGGTTATGCCCATCTTCTTTAAATGTCCGTTTAGGTTGCCCCGTTAAGAATCCGGCTAGGACTCGCAGTTTTTTCCTACTTCCTTTGATACAGTCCATTATTTACTATTACTATTACTTTGAATGATGTTATTACTTCTGTCCTTCCGAAATTTGTTAGGGGGTTCTTGTATTTTTTGTGTCCAATGAGTGAGTTCCATTGTTCCCTAACTTTCTTTTTATCCTTCTGTCAGAGGTACTCATAAATAGTGTGGGTTCCTATGCCACAGAATGGTTCGGGTCCTATCAGCAGTTTAGCAGCCCCTTTTCTTACAAGGGTGTCCGCTCTCTCGTTGCCTTCTACACCCACATGACCTCGGAGATGAGGTAGTAGAACGCTGACTTTGTTCTGCATACGTAATATGTTTAATTTGTGTTTGCCGTTCATCACCATCTTTGAACTAATGATGCTTCAGCTTGGTCCTTTGATGGCTGCTTTGTTATCTTACTTGACAACTATGTTCTGGTTTTTGTACCATTTATTCAAGTTGCATTGAGTACATCCCTCGATTCCGTAGACCTCAACTTGGAAGATAATGGTGTATTTTCCTATGGGCTCGGAGTATTTGGTTCCAGAACTGAATACACTTACCCATTTACCTTCATGTTTTCTTGATCCATCTGAGTACCAATAGATGGTGCCGTTCTTAAAGGAGGTGCTTTCTTCTCGTTCTTTTTGATACCTAAGTTTATTTGGAATTTTGTTTAAATTCAAACATCCTGTTCATGTCGTCTCTTGAAGCCATGAGTATTGGATGGTCATTAATTATGTTGTTGCTATCCACCATTTTGGTTTAATTCCCGTTGGAGTTGTTTTTAATATACTAATAATAGTTTTCTGTGCTGTCCTCATTGTAATGTGGTGTAGGGGTGGGAAGATCCCAGTATCTTTTTCATACCAACTGTGAGACATGTTCTACGGTCCCGTTGTACAGATGCATGTATATTTTTGTGAGTTCTTTTAGTTTTGTTATATGTTCTGCTTTATCGGCCCAGGCAATGGATCCGTAAGCAAGAATAGGTTTTACCATTATGGTGTACATACAAAGCAGGGTTTACGGTCTACATCCCCAGTTTTCCCCGCTATTCTTCTGCACACCATCAATGTTTTTTTTTCGTGTCGCCTTTTTGATGGTGGAGCCGATTTGTTCCTTAAATGTCAGTGTTTTATCTAGTGTGACGCCCAGATATTTGACTTCTTTTTTTAATTTCTATCACAGTGAGTGTTGTTGCCTCATGTGATCCAATTTTCTTTTTCGTGTAAAAACGATTGTAGTTGAATCCTAAGCCAGCGGTTTTACACCATTCTCTTTTGATCTTTAGCACTTTTGGATTATGTCACAGAGAGTTTCCTGAAATTTCCTCTGGCTATTAGGACTATATNATATATATATCCTCCGCATAGCCTTGACACTTTATCCCTTTACGGTCTAGAGTTTCGAGCAGTTCATTCACTCTACCCCCCTCCTTTTGTCGTGCTGCTCCTTCAGTATCGAGAAATGCGCAGATTGCTGTTTCTCTTATTTTTTGTGTTTCCCTCAGTTCACTAGTTAACTGGTACGGAAAATATGGGAGTAAAATATCTAATGATCTCATACGTATGCATATCATGTAAAGTAAAACACTTTTTATGCTACCTTATCCATTATAATTTCAAAGCTGTGCTTTTAGAGATTTTCTTTAATAAAAATATTTTAAATTCCGAATAATTTATTAATGTAATTAATTCTTGACAATGCTTATTGTTGTTCTATATATTAGACATAATAATAACATGTGCTCAAGTAGCTTGAATAATATTTTTTAAATGATTTTTTTTATTTTGCTTTACACTTTTTTTTAATGATTTAGGGATATAAATTGTATTCTTTACCTTCATAAACTAACATATGCCTATTTCTGAATGTGCAAGTGAATATTTTGTTTCTCATTGCAAACGACTTGTGAAGGCACAACATGCAAAACCCGCAACAATTTACAGATTCCTGTTTACAGGCTCTTTCTTATGTATATATCTTACCGGCAGATACAAGGTGAGGCAAAAGCTCTTTGGAGGGCTGAAACGGGGGTTACAACTCTCAATTGCCATTTTCCTATTTTCCTCCCTTGAACAAAATCCAAGGCGCAACAATTCTTCTTGCCTTTTACTCTAATAGACTCGGCAAACAACAAAGAAATGAGGAGTAAAGATTTTGTTTTGTACAGTAGCTCCTTAACAGAAAAATGTGCAAATGTAGACATGATGAGCAGAGAACAAATCTTCCAAAATTTTTAGAGAAATTATTTTCATTCCTTTTGTTTCAAGTAATAGCTAACCTGCTTAAAAAATAGATTAAAAACATAAATTTATAATTACAATAAAAATATAAACTTATAAATAAAATTAGAATGGTTATTAATTTTTTAAGTGCAAAAAGTTGTAAGCAGTAAGGGATATGGTGATCGACCAACAGTTTTTAATTGTAAGAGTTCTCTTCTACAAAGTTCTTTATACAATCGATTAAAAGAAGAAGGTTTAAAAAGTAGAAAAGCTATCTGATAAAAATTACAGGAGATTACAATGTAAAGAATATCAAAAGGAAAACTGTACAAAATAAACAATTACCATTTTCAGATTCTTACCTTTTTTAAAATGGAATTGTACATTTCTAGTTATTCGGAAAGTATCTTATACTTTTGATGATCAGTGAGTCATTCAGTAATAATAATGCAAATTTTTAAATTATACCCATTTTAAAAGTGCTTAAATTTTTCCAATGATCTAAGCAACCTAACCTTAATTTGCAATATGCAACTTCCAACCAAAACTTGTAAACACATGGGGGACATGTTACCTGTATTTTATTCAACTCTAATCCTTTAAAATGGAACAAATATTGCTATACAATAATCAATGGAGTATTGTCTAAGAGATAATTTAAAATGATTAAATTTCGTGGTCCGATTGACCAAATAACATCTTTCAATTAATTAATCTTTATGTAAGATATGGAAAATGGCAAAAAGGAAAGAAAATTAGAAGGTTGGGTTCAGATGGGAAATTAGTGTCCGAGGGGATCGAAGTCACTATAGATCAAATGGTAGAGCAGCAGTGTATTTAGCCGAAGGTTGTGGGTTCGAATCCCGCTCGTGACACTGACTTTTTATCTCAACCCATATCTTATTTAAAGAATAATTTAAAATATTAAGGGTGGTCATTTTTTCCCTCTCAGTATATTAACACAATATGTGTTACGGCTTAAATATCACTAACTTTACTTTTTATTGACAAATTATTGAATTGCTATTTTTTCTTAACCTTAATGGTTGCTGACTACTCACTTCACCAATTAGAATTCTGAAAAATCATAAAAAATACTTAATTTTGTGATAATGAAATTTTTCATAGTTTAATCGACAATTATTCAATAAAATTGTGATTTTATTGAAACTAATTTTCTTAAAACTCTCAAATTAATTTTCTTGAAACTTTCTGTCCCACTTTTATTAAAAAAATATGTACATTTGTTTCCTAGGAAACAAAAACCATTTAAGAGTTATTATTATTTTAATTGCTGTATATTAATGTTATACAAAATGACATATGATTTGGATCAGTAATGACTTTTTAAATTGTTGAATTATGGTTGTACATTCAATTTGAAATATGGTTGTACAGTTTGTCACGAAGAATTCATTGTTAAAATACATCGATTCCTTTAAATAATTTTTTGCTTGATCTAGTTATTTAAGGTTGATAAAAAAATTAAATAGGAAGAGAAAACGCAAATTTCTACAAGATGCCTGAGCGGAAATATTTGTGAAAGGGTTTCCGAGGGTGGTGGGAGTTGGTCGGGGGTTGGAAGGGGAGAAGGGCCCGTGGTTGTGGCAGTGTCGAGGCAGCTCCTCTCGGGTTAAGATGAAACGGGTGAAACATGCTGAAAACCATGGCTGACACAACACCGTCAGCCTATTATGACATCAACACGACATCTTCAACCCACGAGAGGGTCGAGGGTATATCCGTGGCCCCTTTTCTCGTCAAGGGCTTCATCATGGGGCTCATCATCGTGATGGCAGTTCTCGGCAACGCGCTGGTCATCATTAGCGTCGTCCGCCACAGGAAGCTGAGGATCATCACCAACTACTATGTTGTCTCTTTGGCCCTGGCGGACCTCCTGGTCGCGCTCTGCGCCATGACGTTCAACGCCAGCGTCGAGCTCACCGGCCACTGGGTCTTCGGCCCGGTCATGTGCGACGTCTGGAACTCTCTGGACGTGTACTTTTCTACAGCGTCCATCCTCCACTTATGCTGCATAAGTGTAGACCGTTATTACGCTATTGTGAGACCCTTGCAGTACCCCATCACCATGACGCACAGGACTGTATCTTTCATGCTGGCCAACGTCTGGGTTCTACCCGCCCTCATCTCGTTCACCCCGATCTTCCTCGGATGGTACACCACCGCGGATCACCAGCAGTTCCGAAAGACAAACCCCAACGTCTGTATTTTCGTTGTGAACAAATATTACGCTATTATATCGTCTAGTGTTTCTTTTTGGATACCTGGAGTCGTTATGGTCACGATGTACTTCAGGTAATCACCACCAAATTCAGTAGTTTTGATTTCATTTATAAACACACTTTTTATACTCTCATTACCGAAATATAGTTCAATCAGTGGAACAAAATAAACTCCCAAATCACAGAAGAACTACCTGCATAAAGCGTAAGGATGTTTTAACTTGAATCGAACAACATCGTTTTTTAGGCAAAAAAACGCTGGTAAAAGAAAAAGTTAAATGTTTTTCATCATTATATACCCAATAGGTTATTTTAAAAACCTACTTAAAACAATACAATATAACATGGTACCTTGTTTAAAAAATTAATTTGAATGGTCATTTGTAAACCTGGCCTAATTTTTATTCCGATTAATTTATTTTAACCGTCTTGCAAGTCAAAAAACCTTTTGGAAGTTTAGGTATCTGTAACAAATTCCAAAATAATGCCAAAAAACCCATTGAAAGTCTTACAAGAAGAACTCAAATATTTAAATCAAATTGCCGATATAAAACTTGGGAACAAACAAATTAAATACATGTCGAAGCGTTCCACTAGGAAAACCAAGCTGATCTGTCAAAGTAAAGCATAAAGCTTTACATTTCGCATTCCTAAGGTACTACTGCCATTTAAATAGATGCTTTGTCTGATAGGATTTAAGAATTTTAAATTAAACATTTTAAAACGACTCCATCTGACAAAACTAAGAAAATTTTTGTAATTCAAGTAGTACTAAGGTAGAATACTAGGGTAAAAAAAGGCACTACTAAGGCATAAAAAATATCTGTAAATTTTTTTTCTTGTTTCAACAAACTGGTATACGGGGAATACGAAAGAAAATAAAGGAATAAAAACGAAAAAGATACGGGCTATGGTTTAAATAAATCGATAAAACGTGACTGATCACGTTTGATCCTTTTAAGACAATTATTTTGCTCTGCACTAAGAAACGAACAGACTGGAACGTCAAAACACGGTGAAAACGCGAGAATCGACGGACCAGTTTCGATCAACTGCTTACAGAATTTCATCGTCTCTTAGGTTGCTCAGTTCAATTACTCGAGAAGTCCGATCATTTCATTCTGAAGGCGTTTCTCACCATCATGAACGCAATATCAGCTTGTGGAAAAAAATTCTTTTTTTAAAATGTGCATCACGTATGATATGGCGACTGCCAAGACCTAATTTGACATTTATTTATGTGAGGGTGATTGGTTAGATTAATTAATAGAAGATTAATCGACTTAACAAAGTTTTCAAAACTCTGACTGCACACCGATGAATTCTAATCTTTCAGTATTTTTAAAATAAAATTATATATATATATAAACTGAAATGAGAAAATACCTATAGCAGTTAACCAAAAAAATAAATAAATAAATTCATAGCTTTTCATATAAAAGACGTCTCTTTTTTCATTTCCAAATTGTACCCGAACCCGAATTTCATTATTTATAAAAAATGTAACGACATTGTTCTTGGAAGAGTTTATCTATTACAAATTTCTCTCCTTAAATTTAAAGTTATTTCATTTCTTTTGAACGGGATGTGCGCTAAAACACTTCTACATTCAGCATAGGTGTTCTGGCGACAGGGAGTATATTCATTGTCCATAATACTGCCTGGAAAACAGAGATATGAGTGCTCGGAGAATTGCTGACATTCAATTTAGGTATGCAATTCGCACCACTCTCAATTCCTCAAATGAGTAAACCGACCATAATACAATTCAGACTACGAAAGTCATTATTTTCCCCATAATAATAATCTTTGGTAATCCGAATTTCTCTTAGGCCAGCAGATAGGGTTTTCACTTTCTCTTATATCTGCCGTCGGGAGTTACCGCTCATTTGGAACATATTGTATAACATAAATAACCTTTTGGGTTTAGTGTTATATTAGAATTTGCTTAATTAATGCTTCTATAATAGCGTAACATTATACTCCTGTACAGATGAGAACTTGACTGTTTCAGAGTAAACGAAGATTTTAGCATCATCCAAAGGTTTACAAGTTCAATTTTCACTTTACTTAGACATTTGGCCATTATGAACAAACATTCTCACATTCATTTTTCGAATTCTTATTCTTAAAATTTAATTTCGATATTTGTCTCTAGTTTTATATCTCTGTTACAAATTCGATGTATCATTTCTTACATTCAAATGAATTAGTAACGGATCTGTTACATTAATACACACGACACAAATCCTATTGATAAAAGTTAGTACAAGCTAACTTTGATGTTAACTCATGTTAATCCTCTCAGTTAAGTTCATAACCCACCTGTGATAATATGATGATCTTATTATTTTAAATAGTTATACAAGTTTGTAATACAAGTCTGATGAAATTTTTTTCAAAAAGAAGGAATAAAACACAAAAATGGAAATGAACGAATGTATCAAATATTTTACTTTTAGAAAATACATAATAGTAATCGTATTATATGTTACTGAAGAATTATTACTAAATCACGGAAACAAAGCAATTTAACTGGTTTCATTTGTATTATTAAGTGATTAAATCAAGTTTTTTTTATCAATGAGTGTGTGTTTGAGTGCGAGTACGTGCGTGTACGCTAATGGGCTTGTGTATTTGGGAGTGTGGTTTTTTTTTAATACGTTTATTTATTCCAACATGCTGCACAATTTTATTACGTGTAATTAAACTTAGGATATCTTGATTATTCGTAGTTCGTGAGGTGCGGTCTGGTGTGACGTAGGTTTTAGAAAAACATTTTCTTTATCGTGCGACGTTTCGATCTTTATTGAGATCATCTTCACGACCTGGGATTTATAAGCATTGTTTGAATTTTACAAATACTTGTAGGATATAGGAAAAAATTATGAATTTATACAATGCAAGAAAATTTTAGATAAAAAAATGAATTTATAGAATGGTAGAAACTTTTATATTCAATCAAAGTAATTGTACTCACTCAAAGTGTTTGTTTTCCGTGAAGATGTGTCATTCTTGTGTGTCGTGTTGAGAGTGCCAGTGAGATATTGCTGTTTTTTGTTTATGTACGTTGGATTTTGAAAGGGTGGAGAGGAAGTCGGGATAGAAAGACATTTTCATATGAGTAGTCGGCTTCTTTGCGGCGAAAGGAGCCGACAATGGGAAAAAACGTGGGTAACTGTTCGGCCTGATTATCCTTTCAGGATTATACAGACGGGGATAATTAGGGAAAGGAAAGCCAAATTGTTGAAGAATTAGATTATGTAGTAATGTTGGATGTGTGGAATATGATGATTGTTTTATGTTATATGTTTTGTGTGATGTGATGATGTTATATGTATGTTATCGATATTGAATTTGATTGATGATATTAGCGTAGCTGCGGCTGAGTTTACATGTGTCTGTTCTGTAATTGATGTTTATCTGTACTTGATGTAAAACATTTCTAAAAAGTTACGTTTATGTTTATTTTATTCTGTGTTTAATATTTTTGGATTATTACGATATCTCTGACATAATTAATATAAAGTAAAATAATAAAATGAAAATGATTTTTGATATACCGAATGAAGTTCGGTTAAATTGATAAATTGCGGACCTCTAATTCACATTGTCTAAGAAGGTGGATGTTATTTTCGAATACACCAAACTCTGTGATTAGATTCGGCTGGAGAAACGCCTAGTTTGCAGGAGGCCACTGTTTAAGTCAAAAACCAAAACATTAACATAGAAACGAAATATTCACCCCAACTACAATCCACATTTATATACCAAGCTCGAGAAATATAAAAACCAATACTACACAAAAGATAAGTTCTAAAAATTTGCATAAATCATATAGAACCAAAGAACCAGCCAATAAAATAAGTATGCGTAGTCCTAAAGTGATCACTTTTATCATTAAGCCGACGCATTACCAAAAAAGGCGTTCGAGGGACTGAGGGGACAAGTAGCTGCACGAGCAGGCCAGACATGAACTATGTTTTACCGATAAAGATAGGCTTCCATTTTCCCGTGACCTGAAACAATCTGCGTCAGTTTGAGATTAATTTTTATATGCTTCATTTTTAACTTTCTGAAGGCAGATGAGAAAAACAGTTTCGTTATCCTGCCTATGTGCGATGTGCTCCTTAGTTGATCATAGATAACCTAATAAAAGATATGGACTACCCAGAACACTTACTGGGACCAAAACTAATCTAAGCATAACAAACTAACACAAGCTTACAAAACACTGATCAGACCTATTTAGACTTACGGAATCAAACTAGAGGCCTTCGGAAAAACATTCAGCATCCAACGAATTCAATCCTTTCAATCTGAAGTTCTTCTCCGTACCCTCAATCCTCCCTTTTACGTCACCAATCAACCGATCCATAACGATCTTAAAATCCTTTTCGTGAAAGTTCTTATCCGAACACGTTTCCTCAATTTCTACTCTAAACTATCCTTCCACCCTAACCCACCAGCCCCAACTCTTTCCTCAACGTCTCATCCTTACGATGGCGTCGTGACCTATCATAACGCACCCAATTAAATAAAAAAGATTTCCAGCATTGGTTGATTTCTCTCCCCACTGCCTCCTGATCAAAAAATCTGCCAGATTTGTATATAACTATACTATTAGCTCAATATATTTTGTACAGATATCAATACATAAAATAAATAAATTAAAACTTTTCAGTTTGGTGTTGTAGCAACTTTATATTGTGTGGTTACTTTATGTCTCGGGCATGATTACTAGGGGTGAAATAGTATTTTTATCTTGGTTATTACAACAGATTATTGGGGTATTAACAATTATTTATTCTGTTCATTATTTAATGAATGTTGAACATTCATTTTAATGATGTTTGTGAGTTTATTTACCTGATGACTGAGGGGGGGGGGAATGAGGACGTTGATGGCACTAGAGATTCCATCACCGCTATGATAAATGTTCGATTTAGTTTTTACTGGGGGATTTCACTTTGTTTTAATAGGTTTCCGCTTATCTAAAGAACAGCTTTTCATTTGTTCTAATGTTATCGATGTTCTTTTCTCGGATGTACATGGGGCAGCATCTGTCACGTA